TAAAACGCAAACCCTTAAATATATCGACTTGAAAACAAAGTGACTTATGCCACTTTCAAAATAAACGGCTCAACTAGTTGCAATCTCTTTGAAAAGTGTGTAAGTTACCGCAATTATACTGTATATGATTGATTTCCTTCATATTTTGCTTAAATACAACAGCTTTATAAAATATATACTTTAATCAAGAATATCAAAGTCTACATCCTTGTTAACTCGCATAGTATATTACTAGTGTTAGTATAGTATATTACTAGTATATTACTAGTATTAGTAAAGTACTTTGAACCTGAGACTAAAGTACTTTGAACCTAACTGAAGTACTTTGAACCTGACTAAAGTACTTTGAACCTAACTAAAGTACTTTGAACCTGACTAAAGTACTTTGAACCTAACTAAAGTACTTTGAACCTGACTAAAGTACTTTGAACCTAACTAAAGTACTTTGAACCTGACTAAAGTACTTTGAACCTAACTAAAGTACTTTGAACCTGACTAAAGTACTTTGAACCTAACTAAAGTACTTTGAACCTGACTAAAGTACTTTGAACCTAACTAAAGTACTTTGAACCTGACTAAAGTACTTTGAACCTAACTAAAGTACTTTGAACCTGACTAAAGTACTTTGAACCTAACTAAAGTACTTTGAACCTGACTAAAGTACTTTGAACCTAACTAAAGTACTTTGAACCTGACTAAAGTACTTTGAACCTAACTAAAGTACTTTGAACCTGACTAAAGTACTTTGAACCTAACTAAAGTACTTTGAACCTGACTAAAGTACTTTGAACCTAACTAAAGTACTTTGAACCTGACTAAAGTACTTTGAACCTAACTAAAGTACTTTGAACCTGACTAAAGTACTTTGAACCTAACTAAAGTACTTTGAACCTGACTAAAGTACTTTGAACCTAACTAAAGTACTTTGAACCTGACTAAAGTACTTTGAACCTAACTAAAGTACTTTGAACCTGACTAAAGTACTTTGAACCTAACTAAAGTACTTTCAACCTAACTAAAGTACTTCAAGCCTAATTTAAGTACTAACCGAATTACTTAAAATAAACTGAAACTGTAATTTTAATTACATCAGAATTTTGTGAAATACGAATTTACACAATATCGTAATAATTGACGTGCAAGTGTCGTTTGGGTTTAATTGAATCACATTTTAATCTCGGTTCTCATAAACTATTTCATAAAACTTTGCAATGTCGTTTACCGATTCACAGTTTCCTGGTCAATTAATTATTTATTCTTAATTTCAACGAACTGGTTACACGCGGTCATAATACAAAAACCATGAAATGCATAATACGATGTCGTTTTCGCGAAAACTGAGAAAGAACGGGATGAGACTTTTTATTATTTAGAAATACTAGGATCCCCATGGCTGTGCTAAATCGTTAACTTACTTTTCTGATGGTTTAATTAAAAACGTTGATATGTTCAAGCTAGTTCAGTTTTTATACACGCGAATCAAAGCGACAGCCTGTCGACCGTGTATTATGAGCGGACTCGTACAGAAATCGCGGTTTTGTTTGATACGATGACAATTTTCGTGAAAACTAAAATCTCAGATATCATGGACTATTCTGTGATCAACGTAGTAGAGAGAAACGAGAATAAAAAAAAAAATAGAAATATCACATTTGAATAGAACCATACAACCCGATTGTTCAAATATTTACACACTTTTACGACGCAACGCACGTACAAACGTTTACGCTGCGAATAGTTTCAGAAAGGTTCTAACACGTAAAATCTGTGTAAATAAAGCGAAAATTTTCAAGTTTTCGAAACATATTCAACGTGATATCTGTGTTAAATTTTTGTCTTACTTTTTTGGTAGCTGCGCTAAAAGTTTCGCAAATATTTAAACCGGTATTCTAGAGAAAGTCAATGTACATTTTATGATAGAAAATTAATTAAAACTGATCAGGAAAACCGACGAAACCAGACACGACAAAAAAGAATTCATCTTACACAAATCGGAGAATTCTTAGACTCATCGCGATCTCGACAGCTTTACGAAATTCTTATCTTGGTTTCGCAATAATGTTTCAAAGAACACTGACAGCCGATAAGCTGAAATTATAATCGTTTCTTTTTACGAAAGATAACTAACCGGAAAAAGACGATCGATGCGAGTAAAGTTGCGAGCGGAAGAAATTCCGCTAAAAATTATTGACACGCTGACTCAGCACAGGTTGCAGGGCGATTACATACGACTGACGCAGGCTCAAAGTGTTACGGAATTTTTTCAGTCCCGGGTATAATTACCGCGCACGAAGAACACAATTCGATCGCGTTTCCGTGAAAACCGTGGTAGAACGCGATGCACCGCGGGGCCGGGGGCGCCGCTCGGCCCCGCGAAAGCTTGCAAAATCGTCTCGCCAAAGCTCGCGTTCTCCACGCGAAGTTGAAGTCTCCACCCTCGCCTCGGCCGGGCCGGGCCGGGCCGGGCCGGGCGCGCACCTTGCTGATCCTTACATGCAAAATCCGGAGTGGCGATCAATGGGTGGCGCGCCGCGAGGAGATTGGGGCTGATGGGCAGAATAGGCGGGTGAAGCTTGGCCACGGCATTCAACGGGGCTAACTCTATCCTGGCAAATTACATTTCCATCCCCCTACGTGATAGGTGCAGCAAACATGCCCGTCAACGTCCGACCGAGTTTCTACCTGATTAGTGACACTCCACGCGGATTATATTTCCAAAGCAATTAATTAACAAACTTTCGCGTATCACCGTCACGAACCGGGCAGCGTCACGACACCCGCGGATGGAACAACGAGAGAAACAAAAATCAAGAAAAACTCGCCGCTCGAGAGAGAGAGAGAGAGAGAGAGAGAGAGAGAGCGAGTCGAGAGCCGTCAACGAAATTCCTTACGAGGAACAATTCGTCGCTCCTCGACGTCGAGGCGCACTTTCAACCCCCTTATAATGCCGAGTCGGGCTCGCGGTGAACGTTCCAGGCGCAGCAAAACGTAACAGCGTTTCCGACTGGAAACTGTTAACGAAATTTACTGTTTACCACGATTACTCTCGTAATTTTTCCGCGAAATTAATCCTCGCCGCGATAGAGGAATTGTACGGAGGGCTGAAAATAGATTTGCAGGTTCTCGAGGATATGAAACTGTTTTTTCACGTGTGCAACGTTCGACGATGGTACGATACGTCGGCCGATCTGTTCGTTAACGTTGTAACCTGCACCGTGTACGCAAGCAGATAAGCAAAAATGTGTCATATTGACACGGTCATATTGATCAGTACATGATCCGACCACATCGAAATAAAATACTTTTCTGCTAGTCGTGTTAATTTAATCGTTCGACTGGTACACCAAGAACCTCTAAGATTTTAGAAAGTTTAAGTAATGCATTTAAACGAATTGAAATTGGAAAGTTATTCTGTACGATATCAGTTACTTTTTCGTGAAATAGATCAGCGTAGGAATTAATTTTATTTTCTGAACGAACGATTCCATTAATTGCGTGTGGAAAACGTAGCGTTCGAAGGGTATGTTGAAAATCAAAAATATATTGGAGATAGCAGCGCATCGTCGCCCAACGAAATTGCAAAGATGTGTCATATTGACACGGCTACGTTGATCAGTACAAGATCCGACCACATCGAAATAAAATACTTTTCTGCTAGTCGTGTTAATTTAATCGTTCGACTGGTACACCAAGAACCTCTAAGATTTTAGAAAGTTTAAGTAATGCATTTAAACGAATTGAAATTGGAAAGTTATTCTGTACGATATCAGTTACTTTTTCGTGGAATAGATCAGCGTAGGAATGAATTTTATTTTCTGAACGAACGATTCCATTAATTGCTTGTGGAAGACGCAGCGTTCGAAGCGCATGTTGAACGAAATTGCAGATGAGAGCATTAAGCTCGATAGAAGTTTTCTAGTAAGTGACGCGTGGTCTCTGCATAGTTAGCGATTCGTCGAACTCTCGGAGCGAGTAGACCAGCAACGACACGGAATTCCCTTTTCCCGGAGTGAATTCTTAACGATAAAGCATCCCCGAGAGCGCAGTTGCGAAAGAAATTGCAACGCGAAGGTTAACGGAGCCCGTCACTGGAAGATCAGCGGCAACGGGCGACCCGTTTCGCGAATCGACGCGCTCTCTTCCATCGTACACCTGTGTCCGCCGTATCCTCTGGATCATTAGTCTCGACGAACTTCGAAAATCATCCCAGAAAAATGTCTACGACCGATGATCGTGGTCGAACGAGTACTGAAAATGCGTGTGCAAGAAGCATCGAAGTTTCCCGCGTTTCCACGCGCTCCTCGCCTAAGCTCCGTAGAATGGACGAAGTTTCTGACTGGGCCTTGCCGCGCGAATTAGCGGCATTTGCATCGAATGTTTATGTAATTTACAGGCGAAGTTACAGGCGAGTGATATGCGCGCGCGCGCGCGCGATATTAAATTTATTCCGACCGATGGATTTCGGGTTTCGCCGTGTTCCAGACCCGCTGGTCCGGCTCGCGAGCTTTGATCTCGGTGTTCCTTTCCGTCTCAACGACGCGCACAAACTGGTCACGAGCAAATAACGGAAGAATGAGCGTCTACAGCGATGAACCCGGCTGCGGGCTGGCCAGTGGCGAGCCTGTGCTACTGGCTCGGAGCTTGTACACACGAGCTGTCAGCGGCCGTAACGGCTTTACATCGGCACGGTTTGCCTTTCCGAGATATTCCGCGATAACCGAAATCAGTTAGAACGGATATCATTTAATTACGCCGCGCCCGGGGCAAGCATTTCGCCCGATTTCCTAACCGGCCGTTCATTTGAAAAACGTCAAACGCTGTTTGCTCGGCCGACGCGTGTGCATCGTACACGTCGTTAATTGATTTCCTGGCCTGGCCGACCGTTCCATCGAGAAGAAGCTTGTCAAGGAGTTCAACCTCTCTCCGCGTATAAATCTTCCAGCATCCCTTTCACTGAGTCCCTGGAACTTGAGTCCCTCGCACTGTTTTGCTGCACTCACCCGATCAGAAAACGGTGGATCACTTGGATCCTCGCACGGTGACAGCCGCGGCTGTCTGCTATCCTCGACGGTAGCGCCTCGCCAGACATCCGATCGCCTTCAGGATCGTTGGCCGACCTTGCATCGAACCAGGCTCGAGCGCAGCGTCCTCTTAGTCACCGGGACGGTCCTCATACCGAGGATCTTCCTGCCGATCTATCTACCCTGGATCCACTCTTCGTGGTGCCAGCGTCGCCGGGCGTCGCACGTGATCGAGGATCGACGCGGCAACCGCTCTCGATCGCGGTGGATCACAGGCTCGGCGCGTTTACTCGCGCCAAGTGTCACGGTCTCCGCGGCGGATCGGCGCGATTCGCGCACCCGGATCGGTCCGTACGCGTAGAGGCGGTGGGCTGAGATCGTGAACCAATGGGCCGCTGGGGAATAACAATGCGAAATCGAGGGAGCGAAGTCGCACACGCGGTGGCCAGTCGCAGACTGAACTCGCGATCCGCGAGTAGCATCGATTTCGATGGAGGGGGAAAGGACTACGGGCCGAGAGTGCTCTGGTGGGGGATGAGGGAGGGC